ACTTCTAGAAGATATCATAGCAGAAAAGAGCTGAAATAAAAACATGAATCATCTAGATGTATTTTTTATTAAATTTCCCCCTGTACAAACCATACTTCAAATATATAATGTAATCTAGTTTCATCCTCTGTAAATTAACAAATACAAATATAATATGTAGTAAATCACAGGTAAATATGGGTGTCATATTAGAAATCATATACTTCCATTTTTTTTTAGAAACTACAAAATCTCTAATACTTAATACAGCAACTCGTCTCAGAAACCGAAATTCTTCAGCTATTAACAACTGACTTTAGCTCCCAGGCTGATCGAACCTAAAATGAGTATCAGGTAAGGTCCTGGGAAGTAAAGGCAGCCGGCATGATGGTAACCACATCACCCACTGAGTGCTGATTAGTGTATACAAATAAAGTTGTGGTACTATAAGTCTAATGTGCAACAGACACACTAAAGTTCCTTTACTCTAACTCCGTCACCGGCACAGGGCTCTCACGGCGGGCCGGCCACAGAGAATCCCATGTGATAAATAAAAGAGGGTTCACTGTAGTCGAGTTAGTATCAAGAAATAAATTAACACAACACGAACACAAGACAGCTAGGTGGAGGGTAACTTGTAATAGCGTTTCCTGGCCTGATTCCCCCCCCCCCCCCCATTTCATTTCCATGTGACCTTTTTTGACTGTTTGTTGTTTTCTTTGATTCCCATCATTTTATTCAACTGGCAATTATCATTCTGCAGATGTGCAGCCTCCTTAACCTTTCACCTCAAGACGCTCATAAGGCACCACTGTCGGTTACAGATTCCCGGAAAAACAATAAATCGGCATTGCCTTACTGGCCAGTCCTTGATGAGAATAGATAATGGCAGTGATTCTGTTTGCACCTGCGCAGCGTTGAGGAGGGCCGGTGATTATACAGTAAAAGTTTGTTAACATCAATTCCAATGGACCCAAAAATCAACAGCTCATGTTAAGTCGAGACTAATAATAATACATCCCCACTGGAAGCAACATTTTGTTCATGTTAACCAATTTTTCTTCTTAAGGGAGTTCGTACAAACGAGGTTTTTATAGTATCAACTAAAAATAGCATTTGTAGGGACTTTATCATGATTTTTTTTTATGAATTTTTTTTAAATCGCTATGACGTCATCATTTGCCTCTGCCTTTAGCTTTAACATTGTGGAAAAAATTTTATTTAGATAAATTATTACATCTTAATTTCCTGTTAGTTATGGTGGTAACTAGCGGCCAGGTCAGGGGTCAAGAATAGGTAATGCTAAACATTTTTTGAAAGCTCAGAGAGACGTAACCCAGTAAATTTTCGGCCCCATTTATGTTTACTGATTACTTTCGTTATTTTGTATGCAATTAAATATTGTGTTGGTCTTTAAATGGAATTGTTGTGATTTGTGTGTGTGTGTGTGTTTGAGAGAGAGAGAGAGAGAGAGAGAGAGAGATGTGTAAAAATTGGGAAAGGGGGGTGGAAATAATTCATCAGGAAAAGTTACCAGGGTGAAAGGGTTTAGGGAATGTAATCATTTAATTCTCTACTTTGTTTATATTTCCTGATTACTCCCTTCCATATATATCTTTAAACAAAAAAAAAAAAAATTGATATAAAGACTTTAAAAGAAATTATTAGTGACTACATTTTTTAAAAGATTTTGCGGCAGAATACCTAGAAGCTGGGCCTTTCTTTTCTGAGGGCTTCTGGTGGCAAAATGGTTAATTTCATCAATATATCTTATCCTTGGATACTTACTTTTTATGTGTTGTATCTGTTGTGGTTGCATTCTAACAAGAAATTAAACCATCTGATCTTCTGCTTGTCAATAAATATGGTGCAAGGTCTTGTTTGCACAGTCAGTATGACAGTATCATTTTTCCACTCTGTCTCTGACAGTTTTCGTTGGCAGATTTCCACAGGCATCTCGTCTTACAAGTGATAATTTTATTGCCAGAAGTAGTCAATCAAATAACTGACACTATAAGTAGTTAAGACATAAGTGACGTTACATAATCCGAAAATTAGCTGACACCTGAAGTAAATGGTCAAATTCCCCGTGTGGGTTCCAGGGCCCTATTACAAGAAAAACAAGAATAGACCCACTGCCTACCCAAAATCATGTCCTAAAGAGTCGACTAATTGGGGGCTTTCTTCAAAGTCAGAGTGCACCTGCCCGAGAGGTAAGGAACCAGCAGTCTGCATACAAATGAATCAGATCTGTAAAACAGATGCACACACAACACTTAGGTTCTGGAACAGGACTGCAGTCCAGAAGTGGATGAACAACCAGAACTTTCCCCCAGAGTTAACAGCTGGTGAACCCAAAGAAGAAGAATAGTCAAATAAGAAAAACATAAATTGTCTTGAAAAATAACTGACATCAGAATTAGACAGCCAATTAATTAATCAACAGGTGTAAGCAGATTGAAAAAAGAAAGAAAACCTAAAAAACCTTTTAAAAGTCGACAGTCAATAACTGGCACCCCAAGTAGACACTTGAATAACTATTTCAGATCAGATATGTACTTATAATTGCAGAAAACAATAAATTTAGTTAGAGAAGACACAGACAACATTACTATATCATTACACTTTGATGAAAATGTTTAATCAACCCTTTTGTAATTTATATATAAAGCTCTTGCTTGTTGGCATATTACCAAACGAGAGTAATATTGTGTTAGATTAGTTACCAATCAATGCTGACAGCCTGGTCTGCCTTGCCATAACATGAAGTTTTTAGTAAGCTCGCCATTGTGCTCTTTCACCTGAAAAGAACTTGCAATAAATCTGTATAACTCTTTGTGAAATCCATCTACAGTTCTCCACTGATTTTCTAGACTTTCAGCCAATCCACCTTTCCTTGTACCCCATCTAGTCTTCTGCTGGTCTTCTGGACATAGCCAACTGCATACCTCTCCTTATGATCCTACAAGCATCCACTGGTCTTCTTGACTCAGTTAACATACCCCTTCTACAACTGCCAACAGTGACTGTATTTACCATGTTCTAGGGGCTGCAGTGTGTGCGTGAGTGGGGTGGGGGTTGGGTCCTGAGCACCCCCAACAGAGAGAAACTCATCACCGTACAGAGGATTTGAACCTGGGTTTCCCAAATGAGAGCCTAGTTTTCTTAACATATTAGGGAGCAGCTCTTGCTCGTCCTCTACCATGATTATAGCTCTATCACTATCATGATTATAGCTCTATCACACCAAGTGTCATTGGATTACTAGTTGTTGTTGACTGAACACTTCCCTACACCTCATTATGTTGGCTTCATAAATTGTATCTACAAACTCTTGCAACCTACCCACAAACTTGCAGTCTATGAGCTAGGTGTTCATGCAGCTAGGGTTAATAATCTTTAAGCCAAAAACAAAACTAAAAAATAAATACAAAAGGCACTCCCTGGTAAATATAAAAACCAAAAAGGCAACTGAAATGAGTATCCGTGTGATAAGCACTGTCTACTTTTTGCATCACAAGTCATTTAACATACAATGATAGCACTGGTTAAAGTCACACACATGAGAAGTAAGACACAACTACTGCACAAATCCCTCTAAACATACATTATGTTTTTCCATATGACCAAGTGAAGATAAGGATTTAGATTAAATGGTAAGTCTAAGGTGTTCACCATCTTCTTTACCTGGGTAGTACTTGGGGCAGCCATTCAAAATTATTTACCGCCTTCATAATTAAGGTTGACTACAGTGCACCCATTGTTCTCTTTGGGAGTATTCTTTGTCTGCTTTTTCTTTTTAAATAGAAGCTGGCATGTCGTGTTGTGGTTTTTTTACAGCTGGGCTGCAGTATCTGCGCCTTTTGTCCACACACGTTTGACTTCAACAAACTCCTAATTAGTAGCCTTTTATGATGTTTATTAGGGGGGGGTCTCTGGCAAACCTCTACATCCCAACATAGAAGATTACTTATTTAAGAATCAACACCATAGCACACCAGGCATACCTATTGATGCTCCCTCTCCCAAGGTAGAAGAGGGTGGATTAATGAATGAAGTAAGTAATTAAGCGGGAAATGGATATGTCCCCCCTCACCAAAATGGGGCCCCGAACCCAAATGGGGACTTTGGGATAGACGCTTCCCACCTTTTTCCCAAGAAGCACCCAGTAAAGGTAACTATTATGGGGGTCTGCTAAAATCGGATATGTTGGGCCAAGATGTGTAGATATCACAGCTTTGCTGTAAACCACAACACAATGTACCAACCGCCCTTTTAAGGTGAATACAAATAAAGTGCACTGTAAAGCTGACAAATACTTTGTATAGGGTCACAGAAAATGATTGCAGGGATTTTAAACTTATAATAAAAGAAGTGGTTCAGATATATATATATATATATATATATATATATATACATATGGCATCTTAAGATGTTAAAAAAAAAATTTTTTTGTTAAGTTTTAGTACTATTGTAGGACACTTCAACATGAGCGCCATTTGTAGTTCTGGTGATTTCTGGACAGTATTCACGCTCCTTCCACATCTTGTGAATCGTGTCCACAGTTATAGTTGCAACTGCTGCAGCGACAGTCTCTCTTTCGGGTGCTGGATGTTCCTTATCTTCTCAGTGCCATGTTTAGCCTCACGGTAGCATAAAACTTTAAACTTTTCTGAATATTTTAAGATGCCACACGTGTAAATCCATTAAATATTTCTTTTATAATAACAAATTTAAAAGCCTGCCAATCATACACGATGACCCTGTCTTTTCCCCAGTTTGTTCCCATAGCGAAGTGGGATATACTTAACCCTGACAGAAGGAGGGGAAAAAAGTCAGTGTTGGATAAAACATTAGTAAAGATTTACAAACTTGGGCAGGCTCACAATGTTTTACGAAGAGTGCATGATATATCAAGGTCATCTATTATCTGTGGATTCTACACCGGATCAGATATATAATTATCTAAACTTCCCCAGGCTAACAATGTTTTTCAATGAATACATGCAATAAAATCAGCGTCACCTATTATCCGTGGGTTCTATACCGGATATATCACTATCAACAATATTAGGACAAGGCTGCTCTTGATGTTGCACCAAGTGTTCCTGATTTGGCTCACTTTCCTGAAAATGCTGTCCATGCTGCTCCAGATGGGTTGTGTCCTGCACTAGATCCTCCTGCTGGAGAACTGGTTTCAAACTGACAAGCTTGTCAGTATCGATGCATAAGTCTTCGGCTGTCAACTGGTTCTCTGTTCCTAGTTGGTTGCCTTCTGTGGTTGATGTCTCTGAAGGCAGGAATAACTTCTTGGGGGACGATGATGGAAGTGGCATCTGGGAGATTTTCAATTCGTTAATCAGGCGTTTAACCCCGACCATCCATTGGCTCACCTGGAAATTAAGATGGGAAAAGGTTTTTCTGTATTATGTGGCCAATTTATGTTAGAACTATCATCATAATAAACGCTGTCTCTGTGTTAAGGTCACAAATGTTAACAGCTTTAAGTAACAAATTTCATGTAACAGTAATTGGGAGAAAGAAACAGACTGCAAGAGACAGACATAGACAGATTCATGCAGCACAGACAGAGGGAAAAGAAAGTGAGAAAGGTAAATAAAAATAGAAAAGAGAGAGAGAGAGAGACAAAGAGGAACATTCACACATAAAGTGAGGGAAGAAAGGATGGTAGGGTTAGTGGGAAAAGGGAAGGGGCTGAGGTGTCATAACTGACAATCTTCTTTTAAAACAAATAGTACAACATACTGAAAACATATAGTTAGTAGAGATGATCCCTGCATGTGTTCCTGGGACCCATTGTGGGGGGAAAATATACCCACTGCTCCCCTGGTAGTTTCAGCTTCATAGCAAACAGGTCACTGCATCTCCCCAAATAGCATATCGTAAAAGTTGACTAATCAGGGGTGTTTTCTTTGAAGACTGAGTGCATCTCTATGAGAGGTGAGGAACTAACAATCTGTATAAAATAGGCTAATCTATCAAACGGATGTGGATGCCAAACTCGGGTTCTGGAACAAGAGTCAGAAGTGGACAAACAACCAGAACTTTCCTCCGCAGTATACAGCTGGTGAACATGAAGACGAAGAAGAAGATGAAACAATGTTCTTACCTCAGAAATATGGTCAACCATCAAACTGAGGTGCAAGCTGTCGGCTTGTCTCAGGTCGTTGCTCTTCAGTGCTGACAGAAAGACATCAAAAGATTTAATCAAAATGACGAATCAAGGAAACAACTGCAATAAAAAAAGGAAAAACCAATTTAACCATAAAACTGTCCCCAAAATGTCTGAATTTTTTAGAGTATTATCAACTGACTGTTTTACCGAACTTGTTTTCATCAGAAACAACACAGCCATCTTACCTCGTAAAGGTTAGTCTGTATGATTGTTTCTGGTTTCTAGAGTTTTTGTGTCCTCTAATGGGCATGCCAGCAAACCTCATTAATAAACACACAAAAAAGGGGGAGGGGGTGAGTGGGTTGGGCACATATTATACTGGGCTGGTCTCATCAGCAAATTTCAGTCTCGCTACTGAAGTTCATTGTTCTGAAAAGCTGTGTGTGGTGTATCTCTCAATGGGGCATCTGCTTGTTAATCTGATTTTTAGAGTTATTTGTCTCTTCTGACGGGCATGCCAGCAAAACCTCACTCAGCAAACCTCAATATTTCAAAAATTGTCATACTGGAAAACATACTCATAAATAGAATGACTGTACTATGTATTGACATTCTGATACAACTAATACAGTGAAACAAGAAGTTGAGGGAATTATTTATACCATGTATTTATTTATAATTTCATACACAGGGATCCAATTTGCAACTGACATCCTTTGGATCTTTTCTCTCAGGCATGCAGGTGTGGTGGGAAATGAACAGGCAGACGGACTGGGCTACATTACTGGATGGCGAACTGATGCATGACAAGCTAGATGCGGTCAAGGCCCTCTGGGAGCTAGTATACAATGCAGAACCATGAAAACATTCTTACATTTGGAGAAAACGGTACAGCTATGAGGGGATCTGGTAGACACTCAGAGGAAAGGCAAAATGGACACAAATTCAGACTGCTTCTGGTACTATCAAAATTAAAACTCTTTGCTGGCTACTGAAGGCGAGGACTAAGCCCATATGAGAATATCCCAAATGCTGTGAATACTGGTTGTTGGCTTAACTCAACTCGGTATTGAAATTCTCAAGTTAATGAGGCAGCAGAGCTGGCAAAGTGACCAGGTAGCTTCCCGTTGCGAATACAGCGATGTTCTGCAAACAATCTGCTACAAGATAATGAGATAATGGAGGATAAGACAAATCCAATATTTCCTGTAGAACCATTGGCCCAGTGTCTCATGTCCAGAAATAAAGCTAGAGGCTTATTTCTGGGATTGGTCTTATTTTTGGGGAAATGGTAAAGACTGATACTGTCCTTGTATTGGTAACTATAGCTTTCTATTTCTATTTTGTCCAGTGTGTCCTCCCTTTTGTGCTTCTTTCTTTCAGTCCTAATCAACAGGTAATGGGTACCAGAGTGAACACTATGGGGTAAATGGAGGAATGTCGCTGTAGCTATGGAATTGCGTGCGGACAGCGACGCAGGCAGACAGTTTTTTTTAATCAGCTGTACGTACTGGTGGCAGAGCACTTATGGTTTATAACGGTGTGCAATGACGCTGGTTCACATCTCCCGAGTTTACCTTTACTCCTAATCAACACAGGTTAAATTGATTAAACATACCAGAAGCAAGACACCCCAATTTTATCTGAGCGTCTTCTGACAATTTCCCGTCTCTCCATTGGTCATCCAACAAACTCAAGCGAGCCTGAACATCCTCTCTAGATCGTCCCTGTGAATTTAAAAAGAAAAAAATCATGACTTGGTATATTTGACATTTACACAGAAAATAGAATAAAGTGCCGAATGAAATTAATATGATTTTTTTCACATACTTCAGGGAAATGTCTTGTAATAACACACAAACTTAAGAGATTTAACAGCCTAATGACATCAATGTGATTCTTTTGACATTCTCCAGGGAAATGTCTTGTTACAAAACACATAGAGATTAAACCGCCTAATGAAATCAATGTGATTCTTTTGATGCATTCTAGGGACATGTCTTGTAACAACACACAAACATAGAGATTAAAACAACTGTTATGTTATGGCAGACCAGGCCCTTAACTTTGGTTGGCAGCTGGTCTAGAAGTGAAGCTCCGAGAGGTAGAAAGACTGAGCCCCATTCTTCTGATCCAGCAATTTCTGCAACACGCTTTGCTTCAAATGTTTTGGTGTTACTTTTCTTTGGAGTTAAAGCAGGACAAGTGAGGGACCATGCTACAACCCAAGCACTCTACAATACTGCCCAGGCTTTGCATTATGAAGAGGAGGAACTTTCTCATTGGTCTTAATTGGCATCACTTTTGACTGTAATTCCCATATCCTCAAATAGTACAATGAAACACCGCCACCTGGAAAGATGAAAAAGTGCCAACAAAAATAACCTCACTCAACATACCTGAATACTGTCTTTACACACATCCACCATTTCATGCAAGATTCTCTTTGTGTATTTTCTCAAAGAATCAGCCGAGTCCAGCTTGAGTCTCTCCAAAAGCTCAGGAAGAGTCTCTTGATTTTTGGGATCCCGTATAGCAGAGGCAAAGGAGGGCGGAAGCATGCTGTGATCAACAGGTGGGCTCAAGTTTTGCAAAAGAAGTGGAACCGGTGGATGGACTGAGATTGATGACGAGGGTGGAAGTATGTGTACCGGTGGAAGCTTAGGAGGCCCACCTTCAGGATTCAAAAGCATACCTATGGAGGACAAAACCAGAGAAATAAATTTTCTCTAAGAAATTCCACTATTCAGAAAAACCAAGAAGAATTAACAAAATAACTAATAAACTACAAATCTGCATTACCTAGTGTATTTGCATACTAGCAAGAAATTTTCTGCGTTCATTTTTATAAGGAAGGCTGGCACGTTGTGTTATGGTTTACAGGTAGTCTGTGATATCTGTGCCTTTCGGCCCAAGACACCTGATTTCAGCATATCTTGAATTAGTCATCTTTTATGACAAGCCTGTTAAGGAAAAGTGAATCTACATTCTCCCTTAAAAAATGTTACCCCAGAACCCATACAGGAAAACAGAAACAAAATAAAGTGGTTGGACAGAATAAAAATGTAAAAGTTGAGAGGGCTATCTTCCAATAACAGTCCCAAATTATCGAGGCAAAACATATACCCTAACAGGGTCTTCAGTCACATGTCAATTGCGCATTTTCGGGGACTATACCGCCGCCGTAGAATTGAGAACTTTCAGCGACTTTCGCCACCGCTGAGAGTATCCCCCATGCCACGTGTCCCCTGCCCGCTCACGCGGCGTGGATTGGGGCTAAACTAGCAATTTTGTCTCTTGTATAAATTTCACTATCGTTATTAGTTCATTCAGTGGCCCATAGAGTTTACATTCCACTGTTGTTCTTTCTGGCCAAAAGGTTTGCCTTAATGTGTCAAATTCGGTGCAGTCCTTAAGTACATGCTCTGCTGTCTGGGGCACCTTTCCAAAGGTGCACATCATGGCTGATACGCCTATCTTGAATTTTGTGTACATGTGGTTATGTAATCGGTTGTGCCCTGTTCTGAGGCGGAAGATAATGACTTGTTCTGGTCTGTCCATAATAAAATAGTCGTCTTGTGCTGGAGCTGGTGGTTTCCTGATCGATTTAATGATTCTTTTCTTTTGGGGGTATGTGACTGGTACATCCGGCTGCACTTTTGCTGCACCTTCCCTTGCCAGTTGATCAGCTTTCTCATTTCCAGAGTTGTGAACAGAAAGACGTTGCCGTGAAATAAACCCACAACCTTCAGAGTGCCTAGCCACTTCGCCATTAAGTTTTATAGAATAACTAATGTGAAACCAGGTAGAACTCAACAGACTCCAGTGGACTAGTATGCTAAATTATACAAATCCATACCCTAACAGACAACTGTATTTAGTCTGTTAACTGGGCACAAGAGACTCTGCAGCCATATGTACAAGACATTCAAGACAGAGGGCCCAGAACTGTGCCCATGTGGAGAGGCACACATGCTCTCCACATGCAGTAGGGAAATACCAGGTCTGGCCAGTTAGTGTTCTGGTGGAAACAAAGCTGTATGAATCATTAGAGTTGCACTTAGACCTTTATTCAGGCCTAAGGCCTTCTCATCTGAAAACTTCTAGCAGGGAGAACAAAACGAAAAGATACACAATTAATTACAGCATCTGCCTTTGGACTATTTATACTTTTTCTTATTATAAACAGTTATTTTATATTAACAGATGTTCGGAGGTGAAGGAGTTTAAAAAAAAATGTCAACACAGGACATAAAGAGTTAAAAAATGTGGTGGCATGGGTTAATAATAATAATAGTGTTTTTTTAGTTAAATTTCTGTTCTTCACATAAAAAACATGTCAAAATTATACAAGATGTTCTATAAATTTCCACATAGGAAAAATATCTTTGCTTTGAAAACACATTTTGACATGTGCCCTCTATGCTAAAGAACATGTTTAAGCACAGCTGAGGTCATGTTGTAAAGGTCTTGATATGTTTGTTTATTTTTTCTACGTACAGAAACTTATGGGACACTGTAGATGATATGACTTTTTTTCTTCTTCTGCATGCTGACGTTTGAAGTTCACTGCTGCCTCCATTCATCTCTGTGACTGGTCTTCTCTTTCCAGTTGCTGACTCCAAATGTCTGTAGTCTGCCTGTATATTATTTCTTCACCACGTTGTTCTTGATCTACCTCAAGGTCTACTCCCCTTCAATTATTTTATGTAGTTTTGTCTGTAAGTTTTGTGTGTGCCTGACATGACTATCATCATCATAATTAAGTGCCCTACCGACTGAGGTGGGTGATCATGACTCTCCACAATCTGCGGTCTGCAACTGCGTGTATCAGCTTGTGTGTTGACACCCCTCCATGCCACGACAAAAGGCCTGTAAAGAATCTTCTCGTGCTGTCTTGCTCTGTCTCTCTTTTCACAAATGTTTCCAGTAGTTGCAGCATTTTCCCTCTTCTCATAACATGACCACAAAATAATGACTGTCTCTTTCTGATGTGTGTGATTAGCTGTCTTTGAGCACTTATCTCTCTCAAAATGTTTGGATTACTCTTTTTAGCTGTCCAAGGAATTCTTCTGTAAAACCACATCTCTGAGCCCTCAAGATAATGTTTGGCCTATTTATTAACTGTCCAGGATTCACAGCAGTATGTTAAAACTGGCTTTATATGGCTTGTGAGAATACTTTTCCTAACCTTCAATGACATGGATTTCTAGCATAGAATATTCTTCATTTTATAAAAAGCAGTTTGGACCTCTGTGATACAACTTCCATCAGAAGTTATCCATATGCCCAGACACTTAAATTTCTGTACTTGTTCGAAAATAATGCCTCTGACTCTCATTATACATTTAGGCACTATTCTTTTCTTGGAAATCACCATTACTTCTGTTTTCCCATTATTCCAACTGAAGCCCATTTTAGAAATGACTATAGGGCTGTCAAAACATTACCTGCAGAATCTGGATCCTGAGGAACTAAAGGCATTTCTGCAGCTGCACCAGAGCTTAAAGGGAAACTAACACGCTTATTCAGGAGGGTGCGCCGGGGAGATGCTACCCCCTGAGCAGACGTGTTGAAACTAAACAAAGGTGGATCATTCCAACCATCATGTGGGCCATCACCTAATTAGAAAATAAAAAAGTCAAATAAAACTTAGTATTACAATATTTCTAACAGATTTCACGGCAAAATATGGCACTCAATCTCAATCATGCACATCTGCGAGCATGAATTCAGAAATCATCATCATGAAGCAGGTCCTCTGAGAACATCTCTCTCATTACAGCCTGCCTGGAAGAAATTTGGTCTTAACAGATCTTCCATGTTGTGCACTTTCCTAATCAAGTTATCACTTATATCCTGTGCTCATCTTCATGATGGTCGGCCTGTGCTCCTCTCTCCTGGCACCATACCTTCTACTACTAGTTTTTTTCCAATCCCCCATAGCGCTTGATATGGCCAAAATATTTCAGTTTCCAAGACAAGTTGCTGTTTATTTGCAAATCTTCCTTGATTGTTAAGGATGTCATTATTTCTTTTATTCTTTGTCCACTGTATTCTGAGAATCTTTCTAATACATTTTAACTAGAAAGCCTCTATTTTATTTTCCCCATATGTTCCTGCAGGAAAGGATCTCAAAATTGTGACTTTTTTTTACTTGCTGGTGATTAACCACCAACTTTTAATGCAATTATTTAATCTTTGCATTTTTATGGCCATCCCTCTTTTGACTTCTATTAAACAGTCTCTGTTGCTTTTTAGTATGGTTATAAACAAATAACAAATCAATAAAAAAAATATATTATTAAAGCAGTGATTAGTAAACTCCTTTTCTCTTAACAGTGTCTACTTTGAATCTGCAAGTATTCTATGCTAGTAAAAGCCAAATAAACAGCAATGGAGACTGTTCAACAGAAATTAAAAGGAGGATGGCCTTGGCAATGCAAAGATTGAACAGCTTTAAAGGTCTATGGTTAAGCACCAGCAAGGAGATATTAGAATTTTGAGAGCATGCATCTTCCCTGTGGCTACATACGGATGTGAGTCGTGGACTATCTCTCAGTCCTTAAGAAAGAGAATAGTGGCTTTTGAGCTGAAATGCTATAGAAAGATTCTCAGAATATCTTGGACAAAGAAGAGGAAAAATATTGACATCTTAAAAGATCTGAACATCAAGGAAGATTGGCTTATAAACAGCATCCTTTCTCGGAAGCTGAAATATTTTGGTCATATCAAGCGCCACAACGGATTGGAAAAAACTATAGCAGAAGGCACTGTACCAGGAAGGAGGGGCAGGGGCCGACCGACACGAAGATGGGCACAGGATTTAAGTGACTCCTTGAGTATGAAAGTATATGAGGCAGGAGAACTGGCGAGAGACCGAGTTTCTTTCAGGCAGACTGTGATGAGAGCGACGTTCTGCAATGGACCTGCTACATGATGATGATGAGTCTGAATTAGTCAGGTCTCAAGTTAAGTTCTGAGAAAGAACATAAGACAAGTTATTTAAGTAATAATATTAGTATTAAAAACTAAACACTAATGATACTTATTAAGAAAAGTTGAAGAAATTTTTTTTTTAAATCTATGAAAAAACGGGTTAAAGTAGAAACTGTCACAAATAAGAGTTAAAACCCTATGACCTAGAGAAAACAAAGCCAAGCTCCTGTATTTTCCATTTATAGAAAATTCTCAGCTTAAAAAATCCACAGAAAATAAAAATTGTGTTTTTGTATCAAATCTCAACCAAAATACCAACACATGTTATAGAGAATAACGGGAGTAATCAATTAAAACTAATGCACCAGAAAATCAACTGGCTTGTGTCTCTTGGAACCTGTAAACTAATCATAGCCTAACACTTGCTTGACCCGGTAACCACTGAAAAAAAAAGTAAAAGTCCCTTTCAGACGCCATTAGGCGTAATGAAAACATAGGGCTAGACCTATATTTTTTATAGACCAATCGGCACAGGATGGATGATGATGTCAGCATCACGCGGGCCACCTTTACTTCCTGGGACTGCACCTGGTACCCGCTCAAGGCTGGGTCGACCTGGGAGTCAAGGTCATTTTTTTTAAAAAGTCCGGCTCCGTCAAGGGAGCGAACCCACGAGCTAACCACTGTAGCCAATAGGAAAAATATGACTTGAAAATTTATATAAATAAAGCCATGTTCTCAAAGAGGCTTTAAAGGACCCCTAAATGCTATTTTTTAAATTCAAGTTAGTTATTCCCGTCACACTGAATGTTTGCATGGACACAGATGTAGCAAATTCTCTTAACTAGATGTCTCAGGAACATGTCTCTACCACAAGCTGGGAAAATGGCCTTCACCAGGGAATGGTACCAACCAAAAGTGTCGGTTTTATTGATTCTCGGGGCCAAAGAGTTAAGCAACAAAATGGACTGATAATTCAAATTACAACTGGCTAGAATAGGAGTTCAGAGGTGTTACTGTAGGATTTCTGGGTGTAGACGAGACATGCTGAAAAAAAAAATTATTCACCAAAATCATCAATACAAGACTGACCTGACCCAACCACACCAGTAAGCAAGAAAATGATAAAACCTTTCTGCATTTTAACAATACAACCCTTTAGACTTACAAACAACCATAAAGAACCTATAATTACTTGCATTTCAGCCTCTCTGTGGACTCACTCATATCACTTGCTATCACAATTCTGACAGTAATAGCAACAACTGCCAACTCCGGACACAAAACAAAAAAATTTCCGGCTGTCCTCCAAACAACGGGCACTAAAGATGGCGGCCGCAAAATATCCTTTTGAGCTGCAGCCACGTGACCTAATTTGCGGTTTTCCGGCGACTACCGCCACGAGTCCCCCACGCCGCTCGGATTGGGGCTAAACTAGATGGCTATGACTCATGAGCAAAGCTGCAGGAGATGCGGAAGCTGCTGCTCGTGGGTCCTAGCCATCTAGTTTAGCCCCAGTCAACGCCGCATGAGCGGCCCTGGGAGACTCATGGCAGTAGTCACCGGAAAACCGCAAATTAAGTCGCAGGAAGTGTGCAATTGACATGTGACTGCGGCTCGAAAGAATATTTTGCGGCTGCCATCTTTAGGGCCCCTTATTCGAATAAGAAAACACAGTGAGGTCGACATGCCTGGTAGACCCCGCGCTGTGACTCACATTAGCGACCGCGTTCACTTACTGCTTCTTGCGACGCATTACGGTGTGGAATAGAGGGAACGAAACAAGTGACATAATTACCATGTGTTGGCGATAGCTGTCATCATACGGTTAGGGTTTGGGTTAGGTGTAGGGTTAGGGTTGCTACAAACCGTAACCGTATGATTATAGCAGGGCAGTGCATGCCAACACACAGTAATTATGTCATTTGTTTTGTTTCGTTCCCTCCTTTCCACTCCGTAATTGCACTGCAGCAAGGGGACAGAACTCTGACTAACCGGCCGTCTACTGTTGTCTACAGGCCGTAGTTAAAAGAGAGCCAAACTTCTAACAATACAATAAGTACAATATCGAACATTTATTATTTCAGACAATAATATGCACAACTTTTTTAGACTTGAACAACTATATATTAGTATTAGGAACCTTGGCTCTTCTTTGAATCGTTCCCCAAAATGGCGGCTTTAATATGATGGCGTTCAAAAGAGAGCTAAATTGGCCAATTTCTGGCCATAAAATATCCTAATGCGGGTCAGTTCTATTAAAAATATATGTGCCGGCTCCGGATAACGAAACAAATGCTCTGACAGGGTCTCGGCGATACGTTGCTTGCCGACCTGCTTCTGTGAGTGTGCCTCACCGCCGAGCGTATCCCCCGCGCGGTAGATGTCAGACTTGTTGGCATGCGCCAAACGCGATTAAACTCATCGCTGAGTGTATCCCCCGCGCCGCGGGTAGCGGCGCGGATTGGGGCTAAACTAGATGGCTAGGACTCACGAGCGGCAGCTACCACATCTCCTGCAACTTCCTCCAATTACTGTACTCGTGAGTCCCAGGCACCTAGTTTAGCCCCAATCCGCTTTTATCGTCTGTAATGTCTCGAAATTGGTCAACGGTCGCTAATATCGTCTGCAGAAACGCTCGAAATTGTTGTCAACGGTCGGTATTTATCGTCTGCTACTAGTACCGTGTGCAAATGTTGATATTGATTGTCAAGTAATCCTAGTTTTGCCGCGATTTGTTCATTGGCAGACAGTCCGTATTTTAGATATACGCGAACACCGTCGTTCGGATATTTTTGGATATTTTATGGCCAGAATGTGGCATGCCACCATTTTGGGGAATGAATCAAAGGAGCGCCGGAACCTTTACTACTATGTGTCTGCTGGCTCATTTAAAAATAAAAATTGGGTTCATAATAAGTGAAGTTATCGTGTAGCAACAACACAAACGATAACATGAATGTTTGTGCAACAAACTTAGCACATGAAAATGCTGACCATGAAAGCCAACAGTCCAACAACACCAATAAATTTATAAATAGTATAGTTTAGTAAGTGCCAATTCTAAACTGGAACAGAGAAGCAGAAGAATACCGAACTATTACAACCTTAGTTAAGATAATGCTGAATAGAACAGAGGGACAATCGAACTGTACGATAGCTTTCATCAAGGCTACTGGCCTCCTGACATTACATTTTTTTCTGACAGAAGGATCGAAAAAAAAGGAATACTCCAAACTAATAACTATCGCCAACTCACCAGGTTTGGAGACAGCCATGTTAAACCATGTGACAACAACAACCAATCAAGCAGTCGGATCTTCTATTCCGTAGTTTACAAAAGTGCTAATGTCTCGTCTGCTTGTTTGGAGCAGGCAGGTCGGTGCCCTGATCCAACATCGTTCTTCTTCTTTTTCTCTTCAAGTTGGATATCGCTGAATTTCTATGTTAAACTGCAGCACACGTCATCATATTTGTATGTTTGGACAACGATATTCTGTTCAACCCTCTGGGTTATGATAATTGGGATGTATAACATGACGCTTATAGTGTACTAACATTAATATAGTACTTATTTTTTTCCAATGTTTGTCAATTATTATTTATTTAATTTATAAAAGCTAAAGCAGTACTTGATTATTTTATATTTTAACGGTGCATAGATTATATTTTAACTATAACACATTGTATGAGTATGGATTGTTAAGTTTAATCTGTATGTGTATTAAAGTGCGGCAGTGTGACTTTCGCAGATGTTATTACTTAGTATTACTAGACTAGTGAATTCGTCATGTGATGAAAAGTATGTGACTTTCATGTTCCGAGCTGTGAAAAAGATTAAATTTAGATAAGCATAGCTTAAATCGGGTTTTAACATAGGCATGCAGAATAGCGCCTGCCTTTGCTCTCAATTTGATTTTAAAAAATTGAGTTTTATTTTATGGACACATCTGTTTATAGTATAAAATGGATGAAGCCTTGAACATGACACTTGGCCCCGCATAATAGCACCGTCTGCTATAAATGTAAATTTAGTCTTTTGCTACTCTTTATGGTATCTGTTATTTACGATTTTCAATTTATTTTAGTGTATTTCTAATTATTATGAACAATCAGCTCTTGAAACCAAACGATGCCTCAAAATAGAAAAAAAAAAAAGTATGTGTGTAAAACTTCAGTTTTTTTTTTAATTTTACCTGTTTCCAATTTTTTTTTGTTAGCTTTTGGAGTTTGTTTTAATCTGTTTTATGCAGGTGATACTGAATTACAATATAAATAAATAGTATGGCAGTTTTTCAGCTATTTTGTATTTCTTTATTATATAATTTCAGTTTCAAAACAAGACCTCATCTTCCTCTCCTATAAAGATTTCCTAAGTAAAATTAAATTCACCAACATTTAATTAATTTGGATTTCCTTTTGCTTATTACTATTCACCAAAGAACTAGTTCAGCTAGTAATGAAAGATTCATTCTATACAGCTTAATAGATTGAGCTGTGTTCTTTCATGAAGTATGGAGAATAACTTTAATTGGATGTGCTTGAAACCTCCATTTGTGTGTTTGTGGATGGTGGTTCTGTCTTTGTTTATTCTTACTACTGGAAGTTATGGAGCTGGCAGTGGAGTCAATAAAATAAAGGAGTTGGATAATACACAGGAATCAGATGGACATGTAGTGTCGCCTGTTACATTACCAAAAATTACAGGAAACAATGGAAAATTAGAAATTCTTCATTTTCGTAAGTATTTTTTATATTCCTTTTTGTTCATTAATATTCTCCTATTTGAATGTGTATAAATATTTTTAAAATTTGTACTTCTTTGTTTTTCCCATAATGGTTTCAGGCCTATGAATATGGACAGATTTGGTTCACATTAATTTTCCGGCTATCTTCCGAATAACGGGCATATATTATGGTGGCCAAAAACGCACCCTGACAGGGCCTCAATCACATGTAAATTGCGGTCTTCTGGCGACTACCGCCACCGCCAAGAGTATCTCCCAGCCCCATCTCTGGAGCTAAACCAGATGGCTAGGACTCACGAGCAGCAGCTACAGCATCTCCTGCAGCTTCCTTCATTTTATTTGCTCGTGAGTCCCCACCATCTAGTTTAGCCCTACTCCACGCCGCATGTAGCGGCGGGAGATACTCTCGACGGTGGCAGAAGTCCGCAATGTACTTGTGACTGAGGCCCTGTTGGGGTATATTTTTGGCCACCATAATATATGCCCAATATTCTGAGAATAACCAATTTTCCTTTACAAAAATGGCAGAGAAATGGTGTTAAAAAATAAAGGCTATTGAGAATGTAACATATTTCGGCTCTACTGGCAAATCCGGACGAAGAATAAAAAGCCTTGGACGACTTAGTCAGAGTTCTCTCCCTTGGCCGCACTCTCAACAGTGATCGGAAAAGCCACAACGAAACAAACGACACACTTACCTATCATCCTACGGTTGCGTGTAGGGCTGCGTGAGGCATCGTGAAGGGATGCGTGGTCATCATATGGTTGCGTGCAGGGTTGCGTACGGTTGCGTGAGGCATCGTGAATGGTTGTGTAGTCATCATGCGGTTGTTGGGTTAGAGTTAGGGTTAGGGGTAGGGTTAGGGTTAGATGTGAAAATTTTGACGTAGGATTTCGAAATACTGGCCGACAATCAGATGTTTGTGGGAGTGGCGCCACTGAAACTCTGCCAAATATGACGCCAATAGCGTGCGGCTGGTGCCCCCAATCGTTGGCGAATTGTGCGTTTGACCAGCATCCAGAGGCCCTCAATTGTTTGTGTGTGTGTATGGGACTGTGCGCGATTATAGGGAAATCCGGCGTCAAAATTGTCAAATCTAACGCTAAACCTAACCCTACCGCTAACCCTAATCCTAATCCTACTCCATAACCCTAACCCCTACCCCTAACCACGCAAATTTATCGATCATTAAAGCATACAAATCGGCAAAAACCAACAAACAAAACACACCCAAAAAAAAACCAGAATTGTCCTGTAGCGTCGAAAAAAAAAAAAAGATCTGGGGGAAACAACCAAGCATTGGCAGCCCTGATGTCGACGTGACTGTCTTCTTTGTTTCGTTGGCTTTTCCGATCACTGTTGGGAGTGCGGCCAAGGGAGAGAACTCTGACTAAGTCGTCCAAGGCTTTTTATTCTTCGTCCGGATTTGCCAGTAGAGCCCATATTTCTAATACCTGCAAAAAAAATTTTTTTTTTTTCAAAAAGAGGAATGAATGACCACTTTGAATCTGATTATATATTTTTGTTTACTATTGTTATAATTAGTAGGAAAAGAGCATTCAGCAGGTGTTTTGTTTACAAAGAGAACATTTTACCCAAAAAATCTTTACTCACCATGGTTTTGCAGCCACAAGAGCAGAGAGTATCTATATTTGAGAATAAAACTTTAAAGTTTTTTCAGTTTCCTAACTAATTAAAAAGTTATGACATCTTTCTGGATTAGTTTCTCAATAAGAGGCTTTATGTTCTTATAAATGCTGAACAAAATTTCAAAGAAAAAATGGCAGAAAATTGGAGCTATAGTCCTGTACACAAAAAGATATTGACTTTGTAGTTATATACAGATTGTAGCTGCAATAATTTCAATGCAGCTTAGCCACAGTATTAGTATGGTACTGTAAGAAACATTCCTTTAGATGCAAATGTCGGTGACTATCTCATCCTTCGCAAATGAGATAGATCCTTATGGATTTACCTCATCAGAACAAACAGATGACTACTCAGCTGGTGTAAATTCATCGTCCGAATCACTTTTCAAAATAATTAAATTTGTCATTATCACATTTAGAAAACTTCTGATTGAATCAATTTCAGAGCTTCAGCCACAGAAAGGCGAATTTTTCTGCCTGTACATGTGTACGGAACAAGGTCAGTTGAACAGAACAACTACACTGTCTGAAAAATGACACTAACAATGAATCGGATCAATTTGCGCCCATGTGTGTGTGTAAATGAAGACCATGTATACAAAGAAAAACTTTAGAGTAACCTTCCCAAAATACTTTAATTGTAGTTCCGAACATTTGAAATGAATACGGTGCCATTAGTGAATCTATATGTATGGGACACACGATCGACGCTGACACACAATCAACGCTATTTGGGCAAAAAAGAAACTTCTCAGTCAAAACACACAGCATTGCTCGGGCCTTAAAGAGTTGAAAGAACATCTTATACACTGTATGGTTTGTTTAACATGTGTCTGTCTCTTGCAAGCCTTTCACTTTTTGCCTAGAGTTTCCTCCTAGGGAATGATGGAGCTCAGTTCACCAATACATTCTACATGACTTGTTTATGCGTGTCTATCTGCTGCAAGAATTTCCATGTCTGCCCAGTTTTCTTGCTTAGGAGATTGATGGAGCTCCATTTCCCATTACGGATTGTATCACATGTTTCTGCATATGTCTGCCTATTGCAAGCATTTCAGTTTCTGTTATCCTGTCCATACCTGAATATATTTGAGCAGCAACATTTTAACTTTTCCCCCCTCTTAGGCTGGTTCAGTTACAGGGCCTAGTTCACACTGACCAAAAGCTTGGAGCACCTCTTCAAGGTTCTGCTTATTTATAGATTTGGGCCCTAGTCTAGCAAATTTTCCATGGATCACTGTCACTCTATGTAGATGGAACGTTACAATACTTATCCTGCACACACCATCGGTTTTTGAAATATATAACATTCATGATGTAGATGGCATTTATGTACAGCCTTAGGGATAAATTCTTAGATGGAGCTCAGGCAACGTGAACAACATTCATGACAAAGGATAGTCTTTTTAGTGGATGGAGATGAGATCTGTTTTACAGAAACAAATTTGCTTTTTATGTCTCAACCACCTTTAATTTCTCATGTTTAGGACATTGTTGTACAGGAGGAGGGTGTTGAGTCTGATAATTTATGCTTGCATTGCTTGTATAGTAACCACAGATTGTGGAAGTTAGGGTTTTCAGTTACTCTAAAAGAAAGAATTTGTTAAATATTTACTGGGTCTTTAAACCTGGATATCCCGTTTGAGAGCCTGCAAGTCCAACTACTTGGCCTGCCATTCTTCATCACTTTCACAACTAGAGTTAAACTCTGAAAACACTTTGCACCACGACTATGCCTTCATGACTACAAACTCTCAGAATGAGAATGATCAAGGAGATAAAACCATTGTAATTTTTTTTCATAGTAACATACTTCTTCTGCTCTTAACAAGGTGGTTGGCACATTCTGTTTTGGCTTCAGGTGGGCTGCACTGTCCACA